TGTAGTTGCCTGGAGCTCCTCTGGGGGCGCTGAAGTCTGGGTGGTGCCAAGCCTGCTCTTGGTGGACAGAGCACATTTCAGCAGGCAGGCAGTGGGACTGACCTTGTGTGCTAATAGGGTGTCGAGCAATAGGGACAAGATGTGACACAGTCCTTCCTCTCACTGACAGGGAAGCGGGTTGTGGGCCGTGCTGGGGACCGTTTCGGACAGGGCACAGCTCTGCGGTGCTGTCTCTGAGTTAAGTTCCATGAAAGGGCATGGCGGACACCAAGAACACAATCAACTATTACAAGTTACTTTCTGTGGTCACCACGGGGCCGGCAACCCTGCAGACGGAGGCCATGGCGTGGAGAGTGTTGTGATCAACAGGAGATGCCGCACTTCAAGGCCTTGAAGGGTGACATTGATGTCAAGACCCCAGTCTTCCATGCTTTTTCTGTGAAACAGGATGGTGATGGCTTTGAAGTCCCTGTGGTGGCTGTGTGAATACTCGTATTGAGTATTGAGTGACAAGAGCCTCTGGATTCCAAACTTCCCAGTCTCAGCTGGGACCAAACCCATGCCATGATGCTCCAGGGAGTCCAAAAGAATCTAGTGTGGTTCTGGGCAGCAGCCTTGCTGTGACACCCACTACTGTCATCCTTCAGTAACATGTCGTCGAGTCCCTGCCTGAGTCAGGTCTGGGACCTGGAGACACCGGTAAACCAAAACCCAGTAGGCAAGACAGCCAAGGGAGACCTTGGCTCCTGGGACCCACAAGGAACTCAAACAGGGGTCAACTCTGAAATCCCAGAGTGGAGGTGGAGGTAAAGCCTCCTATTGCCCTCCCACCATATGATGCTGGGGAATAGCCCAGGCCTGACCATTGCTTCATGGCTATTCGACCTTAAGCAGGTGGCTCCAGTTTTCTGTGACTCAGTTTCCTAACTTGTGAAATAGTGCATGCAGTGTCTAATGTGCAGGGCTGTTTTGAGAAGTAAATGAAGAGATACAGAGCAGTGGTAGTTGACCAGGGTGCTCAAGGCCCCAAGTTTGATCCCTAACACTGAGAAAAGAAGGAAAGTAACGCATTATCTCAAATAAAGTGCCTAATGGGTATTAGTGGTTGCTGTTTAGGGGAATTGAACTTGTGATTTTGTGTGTGTGTGTGTGTGTGTGTGTGTGAAAGTGCGTGCGTGCGTGCATGTGCAAAGGAGTACATACATCTGTGCTTGTGTGGTGCAGAGGCCAGAGGTCAATTATTTTGGTTGTAATTCCTCAGAGGCTGTCCATCTGCCTTGTTTTGGGAGCCTCACTAGCTAGCCAACAAGGATTTTTGCATCTCCACTTCCTCGGTGTTGGGATTACACGGGCGAGACACCACCTGGGCTCTAGATCTTTCTAAGGCAATCCTCTGACTTGGCTCAGAGCCCACCCCACCCCACCCCACCCCACCCCACCCCACCCCACCCCTGTATTCCTGGGCCCTGGAGAAGGCCCTGTTTTTCTGGAATGACAGAGAGATGGGCAGGCCCTCAGATGGAAACCCATGCCCTACTCCCGGGGAGAACTGAGCCCAGCCACATGTCTGAGTGGTAAAGAGCCTAAGGCTTGATGCCAGACAGAACTAGGTGGCATCCCAGCTCCTCTCCCTTGTAGCTGTGTGACCCTGGGAAGGAAGGCTGCTTTGCTGTCTTGAACTCTAGTTTTCTCAGATAAAGTGGTGGCGTTAGCATAGACTTCACAGGCCTGTTGTGGATTGCCAACTGCGCCCAGGTCAGTGGCTCACACCATGGCCACCTGCTTCTCATATGCATCTCTGGATTGGTGGCTTGTGCTGGGTTCAGCCCTTGTTTCTGCTGGGCTCAGTTCCAGCATCTGTGGTCAGGGTGAGTGGGTGATCTCACTCCCAGGTTAGGTCCTTGGCTTGCTGTTGACAGGAATAATTGCACCACCATTTCGTTGTTCCGTAGCTAGCCTGGGCTCATCTCCACAGTGGCAGTCTCAAGGCTTCTCTGAGCAAGGTGAGCAAGTTCTAGTCTCAGAAGTGATTTCTGGGGCTGGGTAGATGGTCAACAAAGTGCTTACAACATGAGAACTTGACTTAGCACCCACATATCAAAAGGGGGTGGAGCTGGGTGCCATAACATGCACCTGTGGTCCTAGTGTGGGGAGGCAAAAACAGGCAGATCCCTGTAGTTCACTAGCCAGCCAGCCTTGCTGAACTGGTGAGCTCCAAGTTCAGCGAGAGACTGTCTCAAAAATATAAAGTGGAGCGTGACTGAGGAAGACCTGACCCCTGACCTCCACATGCATGAACACATATGTGCATATGCAACTCACAAGAACACAGACACTGATCCATATGTACGCACTCACACATGCACGCATGCACGCACAGGATCAATTTCTAAGCTTCTGCTGTGGCAGGTGTGTTACTCTCCCACAGAGGTCAAAGCAAGTCATGCGACCCAATTCTAGAGGTGGAAGGATTGATGGACAAGAAAGTGGGGGATTTGTCCATTTACCATGCTTTGTTTGAAGATAAAATGAAATAATTGAAGCCAGATGAAAGCGGCATCTGCCTGTGGTCCCAGCTACTTGGGAGGCTAAGGCAGGTGAATCAGTTCAGGGCTAACCTGAGCACCATAGCAAGACTCCATGATGAAGCTTGGTTCAGAAGGGTTCCCTATAAGCTTGTGGATTGGAGGATTGTTTGGTCGCTGATGAGCTTCCTAGAACTGACTGGTCCTGAGGATTCCGTGTTACCAGTGGATCCCACCCTCAATAGTGGATTTGGTTGATAAAATCGTAATTGGATGGCATTGTTGGAAGATGGCATTAAAGGAGAAGGCAAAGCCTCATCCCTCATCGAGGGAAACAGGCCACCAAAAAATTGAAATTTGCCTGGTCCTTTTACTCTCTCTGCTTCTTGCCACCCTGGCCTGAGCAGCTTTGCCCAACTACACTGTCCTCGCCTCGAAGCTCTGCTTTGACAGATTCAGACACAATGGATCCAGTGGTCCATGGATGGTCCCTCTGAAACCGTGAATCAAAGCAAACCTCTACTCCTTTAAGCTGCCCCCATGCATTTGTCATACCACGGTACACCTGATGCTCAAGTCTCTTTAAAAATGAAATATGTTTTAAATGACACAAAGAGCTTTGATGGCTTTGGTGACATGTGTCTGGAATCTCAGCAGGAGGATGCCCATAAGTTTGAGGTTAGCATGGGCTATGTTCTACAGTTCCAGGCCAGCCAGAGCTACTTAGCAAGACCCTATCTCAGAGCTGGAGAGATGGCTCTGTGGTTAAGAGCACTGGCTGCTTGATCAGAGGACCCAGGTTCGGTTCCCAGCACCCACATGGCAGCTCACAACCCTCTGTAGCTCTAGTTCCAGGGGGATCCAATGTCCTCTTCTGGCTTCTGCAGGCACCAGACATGCATGCAGGAGACACACAGACATATATTCAGGCAAACAATCATATATACCTAATGAAAACAGATAAGTCTTTTTTAAAAAGATCCTTTTCCAATAAACAATGAGCCTATAAGCCTGGGTGTTCGATTAATGTGTACATAATGATTGCATTTCTCCCTTTGGAGATTCCTAGTGTAAAAGATGGATCTGAGAAGGTTGCACTCCTCTGGGCACTGATCTTAGAACGATCAGAATGCTTTATTACTTGTTCAGGGCTTGAAGTCTCTGGTAATGATATTCTCTCTTCCCTTCAAATGATGACCCTCTGTCTCCAAGCTTGGACTCTCTCGTCCCCTCAGATTACAGGGCTGCAGGCTTTTTTTTTTTTGGTATGGAAGGGAAGTACATTAGACAGAACTTTGGCTTTCTGTAATTTTTTTAAAAGATTTATTTATTATGTATACAATGTTCTGCCTACATGTATGCCTGCACACCAGAAGAGGGCACCAGATCTCATTATGGATGGTTGTGAGCCACCATGTGGGTGCTGGGAATTGAACTCAGGACCTCTGGAAGAGCAGCCAGTGCTCTTAACCTCTGAGCAATCTCTTCAGCCCATGAGCCATCTCTCCAGCCCCCTTCTGCAATTCTTAAGATCAAAAGATCCCCTGACCAGAATCTCAGATAGGAGGGAAACTGAGGCAGGAAAAAAAAACAGGAGAAATTATGGGGACATGGGGAGAAAAAGGAGCAACTTACCTTGGAGTGTGGCTGTTACTGCTGTCTGGAAAGCAAAACCTCCAACATAATTGGCAGCATTTGCAGTGAAGGCTTTCCCACATAGAGGAATTCTGTCCACAGATAGGTTGTTTTTGTTTGTTTGTTTTGTTTTTTTAATAACAATGTCCCAGCTTTACAACCTGAATGCATATGACTTTGAGTAGGGCCTTATTCCTCTCCCAAGACATTCTCTTGGCATCTCAGATCAGACCTTGTTTATGTGAATGTACCCTGCCTGCCCGAATCCCTGAGCGACTGAGTTTACTTTGTGGACTGTTGTCTCGCAGGAGTCACCTGCATATAACTCTGCAAAGACAATGAAGTGCGCGTCTTACTGAAGCTCACACCTTTGCCCTGAGTGGCTCTTACTTCCTTCCTGTGGGCGGGCCTTTTTCCTTCTCTTAAACCTTGTGCTTGAGTCTATACTAACATATATTTATTAAACCCAATTTCTTTTTTTTTAAATCACTTAAATAAAACAAGGTCTCACGTAGCCCAGGCTAGCCTAAAACTTGTTATGTATCCCAGGCTGGTCTTGAATTACCCCTCCCCTCACACAACCTAAGTGCTGAGATTATAGACCTGTGCTACCATGACTGGTTTAAATACTAATTTCTTTTTTTAAAAAAAATCTTTTTGGTGCATTATCCCATCCCCATTTTCCTCTGGGACGTGAAGATGGTAGCCAAGCCACGTACCCTACCTTGGCGTCAGTGAGGGATGGCAGCTTCCATCTCTACTGTGCATCTGCAGAGCCCTGGGGCTGAGAATGCTGGTGTTTCCATCTCTTTTCTCACAAAAAAGGCAGCCCAGACTCGGTCACTGTCTCATTTTTTGTTTTATTTTGACCCGCTTCTCACTTTTCAAAGGACCCGAGGCTGGGAGCTGTTTGCGGAGTCTTCCCTCCAGGCTGTCCTTTTCTTCTGTTCCCCAGCTCCCTGAAGGTGCCTCCTGCCCTGGTTTCATCTTCTTCTTTCTGCCGCAGCCTCACGTCTGCCTAGGGGCTGCTTCCAAGTGGAGCTTCAGCTGCAGGGGACTCTGGGGGCGAGGCAGAGCCACAGGGCCCTTCCAGGTAAGGTTGACAAAGGCAGGAAGCTCCAGATGCCTGTGTCTGAGTCTCTTCCGGCCAGGGTGTGCCCTCTTCTTCCCAAGGAGTGGTTACTCCCAACCTGTAAGGGAAAGGTGCCCCTCCACTTGGAGCTGGAGGGTTGACGCTCTGCACTCTAAGTTATCCAAAGAAAATGGCAGTGTTCTGGCCTGGGTAACCACCAATCAGCAAAGCAGGTTGGTCCTGAACTCCCCTCCCTGCCTGAGCAGAGCAGGTGCTTACGTGCCTGAAACCCAGATACCCTAAAAATAGGACATCTACCTTTCATCTCGAGAAATCACAGACCAGAGGCCCAGGCACTGAGCAAGGGAGTGGAACACACAGGGTGGGGTGGGGTGGGGTGGGGTGGGGTGGGGTGGGGGGCCCCTTGTCCAGTTGGATTCTACAGGAGAGCTGGGGGTTCTTCTGGGGCATGTTCTGGAGCTGTTCCTGGGCTGTTGGCTTAACAGGGAGTAGTCTTGGTCTCACATCGTCCCCTTGAGCTTGGTGGGGTCAAACCTGCTTTGCAGATGTAGGCATTGAGAGAATGAAGAGAATCTCTTTGGAGTTGAAGGTTCATAAACAGAGCATGATTGATTGGCATGGGTAAAGCAAGGTTAGAAAAATCCCAGAGGTGGGGCTGGTGTCCAGCACACTTGTTTGTTTGGGGTTTTGAGACAGGGTCTCAAGAACCCCGGACTGACCTCAAACTTACTAGATAGTCAAGGATGACCTTGAACTTCATATTCTCCTGTCTTCACCTCCTGAGTGCAAAGTTTATAGATGTGGTCCCACCACACCCGGTTTATGCACTGTTGGAGATGTAACCCAGGGCTTCACGCCTGCCAGGCAAGCACTCGACCAAGCCACACTCTCAGCTCCTCTAGTGTACTTTAAAGAAATGAAAAGTCTTCTGATTCTGCCTCGAGGGAAGATATTTCCTTAAGTTCTCTGAGCTCCATTTTCTCACCAGTCAATGGGGCTGTGGTAGTGAGGAGCTGTGTACACAAGCGTGTGCAATGTTGACAATGTCATTTCACTGAGAACTCTGTATGAAGGATGCCTGGGCCACTCCTTCTCACCAGTCAGCTTTGATTTTTCTCACGGGGCATCACCAAGGTCAGCTGTGGGCCCTGCAGTTCAAAAGGGGTGAAGCCCCAATTCCAGGTAAACGCTCGAGGCTGTTCGTTTCGGCAGCCACACACTTCCAGATAGGACTTGACCTGTCTCTTCTGGTTTTGGTAGAGCCCTCAGAGAAGAGTGAGAAAACAAAGGCCATTTTATTTATGATAGAAAAAGAAATCAACAGGGGGTACAAATCCACAGGCCCAAAGGGAGGGGGGCATGTTTAAATAGAGCGTGATCCATTCACTCGGTGGAATATTCTGTGACTATTGAAATGATGTTTACCAAGGGTTTGTAATAACACGGAAGATGCTTATTCTGAAAACGCCGTGTGCAGAAGGAAGCAACAGAATTGTATGTTCAGCACAAACACACCCGAGCAAAAACCAAGCCAAACAAAACACACAAACAGAAGCAAGAGACCCGAGGGACACGCACCGCAGCAGGAGATGTCTTTGGGTGGCAGGATTGAGAGTTTTCTTATACACTTCTCTATCTTCCAATTGTCTATTTATTTATTTTTCTATAAAGTGACATGGACTAGTTTAAAGTGGAAAATAACCCGAACGTCATTTTTTCCTCCCCCAAAGCAGTAAGAACTCCTGTTAGAAAAAAAGCAAGACAGACGGCCCTCAGAGAACCAGCTGACACTTCGGCCATCCGGAAGCCGAGGCCAGGAGGCCGGCAGACCCCAGGCTATTCCCCAAAGTCAAGTGGGCAGCCTAGACTCTGAGCCCACGGGAAGCAGATGCCAGTAGGCTGCCCCCAGCTGCAGACATGGACATGGTACCTGTGACTCCCCGGTAATTATGCCGGCTCCAGCCACCAAGTCAGCTTCTCTCCTAGAGAGCAGAGACGGAGCCAGATCAATCTGAGATGGTCTTCCTCGGAAGCAGCCCTGTTCCCCAGCCTTAGTGACAAAACCCTTTCCCTTCCTGCTCCGTGCATCTCCCTCCGCAGATACCATCTCATCAGGAGGCCCAAACAAGCACTTTCCTTGCTTTGCCCTTGTCTTAGCGGTTACATTTGCTGAGTTCAGTGTCTCTCTTCCTGTGCTTGGTCTATGAGTCAGCCTGCTCTCCTCCACTGGAACTCTGTTCCCCCAGCCACAGAGTAGTGCCTGCCCCAAACAGCCTGCATGTGTTCACTTCACGAGTGAACTCAGACCACCGTGCCTCTGCTGAGTTCCCTGGGTTACTTGGCTCTACTGTAACCATTTCCATCCCCCAAACCAGCTCCTCAGCAAGCCAGTGATGGCATGCCAGCTCTGACCTATCAGCCACCACTGCTGGGTTTCTGTTTGGAACAGTTCTGAGGTCATTGTAAGGACTCATCAAGAGAAGGTGTAGGAATTGATTGATGATGTCTGCCACATGAGCACAAGGGAAACACAACAGCCCAATCTCAACAGCCCCTCTCTCTATAAAGACCACACTCACCATTCACTGGGTCTAGAACCCCCCTGCTTTTTTTTTTTTTTTTTTTTTGCAACTTCGTTGGAATACTTGCCTGGTTCCATTGGCGCACCATAGGCTTCTGGAAGCTTCCCTAGTGTGTTCCCTCTCTTAGGCCTAGAACCTATCCCAGACCCTACTCAGCTTGGCTGGGGTCTTGTCTTCTGTCTGGCTCATTGTCAGAGGCTGCCCTCAGACCTGGGCTCGCTTGTGCCTGGGATCTGGAGGTCTCTTCCCAAAGCACCTTGCCTCAGCCTGGCACCACCACGCCAATGCCCCCTTTTGTAATCAGATTTTTTTCTTTGGGCTGCCAGCTCACAAATAATGACAAGGAAACTTATTATTAATTATGAAATTTGGCCTTGGCATAGGCTTGTCCCACTAGCTCTTATAATTTAAATTAACCCATTTATTTTAATCTACATTCTGCTGCGTGGCTTGTTACCTCATCTCTCTATACTGCCCATGCTGCTTCCACTGACTAACAATCCTGCCTTCTTCCCAGAATTCTCTCTCTGCCAAAAGTCCCACCTATACCTCTTTCCTAGCTATTGGCTGTTCAGCTTTTTATGACACCAATCACAGCAATACATTTTCACACAGTGTACAAATATCCCACAACATCTTTGACTCTTTTTACTGAAGCCATCCCTCCTGGCATCCCAATGTTCCTCAGAGGTTGATGCCTGAGTATCAACATGGCCTTGGCAAAGTTCCTTCCCTGGCAACCCACCGTGGCCCAGACAGCCTTCCTTACTTAGCTTTCAATTCAAGAATCACTCAGCTGCTTCCTCCTCCCAGGCCCTTGGCCAGGGATAGTCGCCTTGCGTGGTCCAACAAAAGCTCTTTTCTCATTTCCATGCTAACCTCCTCCTTGTTCTACATTCTAACCCTGCATCTTCCAAAAAGCCCCCCAGCCTCAGTTCCAGCAGCTGCGTGGCCGCCCATGGGTCTGCTTGGCCATCAGTGGGATCTGTGGAGGACTTTAAAGGGGCAAAGGGTCCAAGTGATATTCTCCCACTTGTCAGGCCCGCCCAACTGTGACTCACACCTCGTGGTTCCTGCCTGGTTCCAAGAACATCACTGCTTTCTTCCCAACGTCTTTGTTTCCCCCAGAATGGAACAAGGGCACAGTGGTGTGAAAGGTTGGACCAGGCTCTCTGTCTTTCTTCCTGGAACTGGGTCTCCTCGGATGTAAAAGATTGAGAGCCTGGATGTTCCACTGGGGCCTTCCATCTCCTTAGCTCCATCCTGGACCTGCTTCTTCTCCCCGTTCCTTCCCATCTGACAAAGCAGACAAGATGGCTACCAGACACAGAGAAGGCCATGCTGTCGAGATGAATAGTGGTGGCCGTCCTGGCCAGCAGGCAGAGAGGATTCTGAACTCTGGGGAGAGTGTTGTGATCAGGTGGTAGTCTAGGGCATGGCTGTGGTCTGGAAAAAGGGAGTCTGGAACCACATCAGTACCCTGTCTCCCAAGACCTCAGCGGTGCAATGACTAATATTCAAACAGAACTCCTGCTGAGATGGATGCTTCTCTTCCTCCCAGCACACGGAACTTGAGGTAACCAAGAAAGAAAAGTGGTCCTTGGTCAATATGTTCTGCACACAGGCGTCCCTGTGGGTGCCTTCTGCTTTAGCCGGTCCTTCTGGCTGAATCTCGGGGCTATCCTGAGCTCCTTCCTGCTCCTGCCCAAACCTCCTCCTTCAGTTGTTCTAGAAGCTGCAAAGGTGGGCCCCAAGGCTTAGGAATGTGGTCACAGAAAGCTAAGCGCTTGAGGGGCCCCCTGGGGAGTCCCCTGGCACCTGGAACTGTGATTAGGATAAGACTATGGCCCTGAGTTCCAGTGGGGTCCTCAAATAGCCCCCGCCAGGAGTTCTGATTTGCAGGACAGTGCTGGTCAGTCACTCAAGCCGTTGTCACACCCGCTGTCCTGGAATGCTGGGCCCTGACTTCGCTGTTGTAGCATTCCTGCGGACTGTGGGGGTTGAAGAATCCTCCAAGGCCCTGTAGCCTGTGGTGGAGGAGAGATAACTTTCCACCCCACGGCCGAGTTCCTGCCCACCTCTTACCCAGAGTGATGGGCGGAGAATTTTGCTGCATCCCGATGGAGCCCAGCAGAGGGGCTGCTAGACAGGGGTCTGGGGCACATCAGGGACAGGCAGGGTCAGGACGGCAGGCAGCAGGGTGCCCCGCGGAGCAGGGAAACCCTGTAGCTCCTTAGGCACAAACCTGGGCGAGATGTGGTCGGCCAGGAAGCAGAGCATGTGCCTGCGTCCCACACAGTATATATGATCATCCACCACGGCGCACTGGAAGGCATCGGGGTAAGGCAAGCGGTATGTGGCGCACTCATACCAGAGGCGGGTGCTGGCGCTGCAGCGGTACACGCTGATGCCCAGGCTGCGGTTGAGGTCAAAACGGTAGAGAAAGCCATTGACAGCCACCATCTCAGCTGTGCGGTCCTTGCTGCCCCCCGTGGGGCCGGCCCACCAACGCTGCTCCTGGGTTGAGAACCGGAGCAGCAAGTAGCGTAGGCTGCCCCCAGTGACAAAGATCTCCTTGGCGCACACCGTGGCTGTGTGTGCCAGGGCAAATGTGTCATTGGGGAGTGGTGGAGCAAAGGTCCAGCGGTCCACTCGAGGGTCATAACGCTCCACTGTGTTCAGACACTCACCTCCAATGGCATAGAGGTGCCCCTCCAGGGCCACCAGCCGGCAGTGCGGCCGGGCCTGATTCAATGGGCATACCTCACTCCAGATTTCAGTCAGGGGGTTGTAGCAGAAGACCCGGTTGGAGGGTTGGCCCCCAGGTCCTTGGCAGCCAGACACCACAAACAGATAATTGAACAGAGTACAGACAGAACAGCCCCGGGACATGGCCTCCATGGGCAGCTGAGCCAGCAGGTGCCAGGCATCCTGCACATTGTCATAGCAACAGAGGCGGCCACTGTCTTCCTGGGGACACACATCGGCCACCACCAGGCATTTGTGGCCACGAAACCGTCGCTGGAGGATCAGTTCCCGTTCTGCCCCACTCAGGCCCCCATAGATGTCTGTGTTGCGGAGGACCTGGAGGTAGTTATCACTCATCACCTTGTAGGCTGCTTCCTTCAGGGCCTCAAGGCCCTGCCTCTTGGCCAAGGTCAGCACCTCATAGCAGTTGCCCAGGTCCAGGCGGACATCCTGGGCTGAAGCAGGGGTGAGCTGGATGTGGAAGAAATTGGTCCCAGCTACAAGCTGCACATGGGGCTCCCCGTGGCTGCAGGCTGAATTGATCTGGGCTTTCTGGTCCAGGTGGGCAGGAGGGGGCGTCCTGAAGCCTTCAGGCTGCAGTTGGAGCTCTGGATTCTCAGCGATCTGCAAGAGACTCACCTTTCTGCTGAAGCCTGGTGCAGAGGGGGTTGGCACTACCTCAGCTGCATCCTCTGTATTATCAGCTTGGCCTCTGGAGTCTGCTCCTGTGACCAGGGGCTCTGGCCCAGACCCAGGGGATGGAGCATCAGCCAGAGCTGCTGTGCAGGGGACCAGCGGCCTGGAGACAGCCTTCGATGTGGACTCCACAAAGTAGTCATATACTCTGCCCTTCAGCTCAGGCCCTGGTCCCTTGGCCTTCTGTATAATATTCTCCTCCATCCGGATCCGGGCCACAGATGAGAAGGTGTAGGAGGCATTGGTGGCTCCTTCCTGCTGCTGTGTGGCCAGGCCCATGTCTGCAGCAGCCTGGATGGTCCCAGCCTCTCCCCTGCTGACCCCTGTCACATGGGTGAAGACCCATCTCTGGTTCATGTCACGGCTGACCACTGTGGGATCAGTGCAACAGTTGGGGGCTCCTGGGTCTCTAGACCCTGTTTGCTCTGGGGGTCTGCCGTCTGGCCATGGAGAGAGCTTGTCACCCACACAGCTGCCGCCCACTTCTGGAGAAAGTCTGGCTGGGGAGCTTGTAGGTTCACAGCCCAGATGAGGGAGGTGGGGAGGGTTGGGCTTACCTCTAACAGCTGTTCCGGCTTCCTGACCACTGCAGGGTGGAGGCACCTGCTGAGAATCTGGGCTCTGCCCTCTCTGATTCTCATCAGAGCCTTTTCTTGTGGACTCCCCAGATCTGGAGGCGACCAGTTGGCAGGAGTCTCCTGGGTCCTCCAAGCTGTGGTCCAGTGGGGTCCCAGGCCCCTTGCTGGCCTTCCTGCGTCTTGGCCCCCTTGGCGGGGTCCCTGGAGGAGCCCCCTGGAAGGCAGCTCGCCCCGAGCCCTCCGCTTCATCTTCCGCTTTGTGGCTCTTGTTATTTCTCCCCGCTTGCCCGGCAGGGGCAGGCCTGGACTTGTAGAGTTTGTAAGCCGCCGTTACCAGGAGCAGCGCAGCTGCGGACAGCACCAGCCTGCTGGCCAGCTGCATGTCCGAATGCCAGTCCTGAGTGTCTGCTCCGGCTCTGGTGGGAAGCATGCTGGCCAGGGGCAGAGGAATGCCAAGAATCCGATTAATGATTGCCCAATAGGGCCAAGTTCCTGGATCCTGCTGCGGAGTGGGAGGGAGGCCCTAGCCGGTTCTGGCCAGCTGAGTTGCTGGAGCAGAGGTGACTTTGAGTTGGCTGAGGTGGCACTGGGGTGAGGGATGGCTGAGGTCCCTGCTGGCCTCTTTCGATCCTTCCCTGAAAGGGGGAGGGGTTCCTAACCAGAGGCTGAGCTTGAGATCAGCCTCCTGCCACAGCCGGAGGGCATTCGGAGTGTCCAGCAGGGATCCGAAGAGGAAGCCGGCTCTCAGATTTATCACTGGATACCTGGAAGCGTGTGCTGTTGGTCTTTGTGTGTGAGCACTGCTGTTTTCTCTTTTGCAAATCCTTAGGTTGGAGGCTTGGGGCGGCTTCGGTGGTGGTTCCTGGGGGGCAGGTGGAGTCACAGGTACTGGGCGAGTAGGGATGGTCCCCAACAGAGAGGTCAGCGTTTAACTGGCCAAGCGAGGAAGCAGTGGGGGAGGCTGAGCCTGGGCCAGCAGCCAAGCCACCTGACCGGGCTGTTGACCGCCTCTGTCCTCCTCTGTGTCTGACAAGTTGACGGGAAACCAGCTTTGCTGAAGCAGCCCAGGAAATACAGCGCATTAGCACCCAGATAAAGTCAGACCCTACAAACACACCCTCTTCTTCATGATGAGCCAACCTCATAGGGAAAGAGGCCCGTGGAGGACTGACACCCCTCAACTCCCAACCCATACCCACCTTAACATCAGCACTGGGGACCCTGGACCCAAACTGCCCGAGTTTGCTATTCACCAGCTGTGTGACCTTAGGCAAGTAACTACTTCTCTGTGCCTCCATTTCCCTATCTGATGGGGGAGGGAGCGTGGCAGCATGTGTACCTCCTCGGGCTGTAGTTAACATGCGTGAAGCCCCATGTTGCTAAAGCTCTGTGAGTCTCAGCTGTTCCTATCCTCCACGCACACGCGCACACGAGGGTCGTCTCAGGGTCCTCAAGGGTGTGTGCAGAGGTCTCAGCTGCAAGGAGTTACCAAGTCAGTGAGCAAGGCTGGGGCCCAGCCCCGCTCTGCATAACCCTTCCTCCGTGCCCAGGACTCAGGTGGCTGGGCTGCCTAGATGCTCTTTGCACACGCTCCACTTTTTAAATGTTGTTTTCTGACTGGAAAGCGAAAATAGGATCCGCTTTGAGGGCCCAGGAACTTGGTTCTGAGGGCTTTTGTTATAGTGAGTGTGTTTGTGGTGTGTGTGTGTGTGTGTGTGTGTGTGTGTGTGTGTGTGTGTGTGTACACGCCATAGCATGCACCTGATGGTCAGAATCCAACCTCAGGAGTCCTTTCTCTCCTCCCACCGTGTAAATCCTGAGGACTGAACTCAGTTGGCCAGGCTTGGCTGAGAGCTTTTACCCAGGGAGCCATTTGCTGGCCTCCTAGGATCCCTACCCCCTAGCAGACCCTTATCTGTGTAATGCTCTACTCCACAGCCTCAGTTTACCCTTCTGTGTTGTATCCTGATTGCTGCCTAGTATGCCGAGCTTTGTCAACTCTTGCAGGCCAGGTCTCCTTATCTTTGTAGGTGGGGAATCTTTCCAACTATTCAGATTCAGTCAAACTCCAGGCCTTCCTGGGTCCTTCCATGGCCGGCCACCTTACTGTGGGCTCCATCCTTCCAAACTGGCTTTTCCTTCCTCAGTCTCTTCTCCCAGTCTTTATTATAGCCAAAGGCCCCAGAGCAAGGTGTCTGTCTTCTGCAGGACTGACTCCTAGTGGACCCCTGGACCTGGACCTAGTGGACTAGACCCAGCAAGGAAAGGGACATCAGCTGAAGCAGGTGGGCTTCCGGTCAGATGAGAGCTGATGCTCACAGACCCCTCTGAGAGACAGAAAATGGTGGTCTCCCCCCTCAGCAGTCTACTTGTGAATGTTTGCAATGTGGGTTTATTGTTCCTCTGTTGCAGGAGGCCACCAGAACAGAGAATGCAGCCACAAGAAGAGAGTCTGTCAGTCCTCAAGATGAGGGGGCGTGCCTACTGTGGGGGCCCCCAGGGAGGTCAGAGCACAGAGGGAGAGGGGAAGCCAGGGCTGACCATTGCGTATCGGGAAGGTCGGGAGCCGCGATTCATACAGAGACGGCAGAAGAAAGGAGACTCTGGGGTCCCTGGAGGCAGCACCTCCCTTCCAGGGTGTTAGGATTCTAGCTCAGGCTCCAACCCAGGTCTCATCCCATCTGCAGGTGAACAAATACTATCTAAATGCCATAAATTATAGTTTTTTTTTTAAGTCTCTGTGTAGAGAAAACCGAAATGAACAAATGAAGACAGAGGTGAAATTAAAAGATAATTGGAAGTCTATATCGGGCTTCTGTGGATGTGCCTGGCCGCCACCAATCTGGTCTCCTGCGTGCTCAGGCAGGATAAACTGAGAACTCTCATGGTGGCCCCAGGGGAGGGCAGAGCCCTCAGATGGATGCCACACAGATCAACAGACCCATCCTGGGTGGTCAGCTTTTCATCCTGTGGGCCCCTTCTGAGCCCGGCTCAGTTTCCCAAGGTGGAGGTCACAACCCTGGTGGCCATGGTAGATGAAACACTGAATGGAGAGCACAGGGCTGAGGAAGGTCAGTGTGGAGAATGAGGAGAGAGGACATTGGGGAAACACAGAAGACAGAAGGCATGCACCCTCTTAATGTGCCTCAGTGTGCCCACACACATGAGGGAAGACCTTTGGGGTGCAAAGTCAAAGATGAGTTGATCCTTGTTTGGCCAGTGGGGAGACTGAGGCCCAGAGGGTATAGTCTGGTTTAGCAGGCACTGGAATTCAGGGACACAGCCACTACTGACATACTTTGACACACTCATGCACACTCCCACAAAATCACACTCTCATACACGTACATGTAATGCGCTCATACAATACTTGCTCATACCTTCCCGTTTATACTGCCACTCTCCCACACAAAATCACACATACAATCACACACAACTGGTCTCTCTCATGCGCTGTGATCCATCATAACTCTCACTGCCACACACCATCACACACTCATGCACTCACACACTTGTACCCCCACTCAGTCTCACACCCACATTCACTTACAGACATTCAGTGGGATGATAGATGCAGGCCACTGTGCCTGGCTTTTTACTTGGGTGGTGGGGATCTCAACTCAAGCCCACGTGTTTATTCAGCAAGCACCATGCCAACTGAGCCATCATTCCAGGCCTTATCAACCCATTTTAGAGATGAAGATGTTGAGGCTCCTAGGAGACAAGGGTGCCTCCTCATTCAAGGTCTATGTGGAAGTTTGTCTCCTCTTTGACCTCAAACCCACCACCCATACGGACTGTGGGCTGCCTATGTCCCAGGTGAGCACAGATCAGAGGCAGTGGCACCAGGACTCAGGAAAGGACAAGGCATGCTACAGTTGGTGAAAGGCACCCTGGCCTGGAAACAGTTTCGAAGGCTTGGCGTGAAGGACTCTGCTGTTTGGATTTAGGAAATAAAATAAGGGCAGGTGTGCCTGTGAATTTGATGGGGAAAGTGAATGTAAAATTCATGGTTGCCATAGGAGATGGCAGCCTGTATCCTGGTGTTTTCTTCCTGGGGTGGAAGGAGGTGAAGGCAGGAAGCCTCCTGAGGTGGGAGCCTGAGTCGGCAAGGCCTTCCTCCATGGCCAAGAGCCCCCTTCACTGTGGGCTAGGAGCCTACAGTCACACTACCAACAGCAGCCATAGTAGCGTTCACCGGGTTCCTTCCACCGTTCTGGCTCCGTGCTTGGAGGAGCTGCAGATGTCACCTCCTCCAGCTCCCAACAGCCCCGCCAGGTTGCAGATTTACCTAGTCCACTGACGAATAAACCATCCCATAAGCCATTCTTGAAAAATTCTTGCCATTTGACCCAAACAGCATGACCTAGGAGCTGGTTAGCATGAGGGGCTTGGGTCCCACCATAGTCGCCCAAATCCAGAGTCTTCATATTAGACCCTGAATGAGTCTAGGGAGGGACCAGACGTACTCAGACAGATGCCCAGGTCACCATGACCTTGAAAATCAGCTGCACAACCCTGGATTTGGAGAGCAGCTGTGTTGTCATCCTGAGTCGGTGGCTCCCTGGATAGTTGAGTTCTTGTACGGTCTATTTCCTTTTAGATTTATTTATTATTATGACTTTTAAATTACTTAAAGTGCGTAGATGCTTCTCCACGTGTGTGTGTGTGTGTGTGTGTGTGTGTGTGTGTGTGTGTGTGTATACCACATGCATATGCAAGTCTGGTGACTGTGAAAGCCGGAAGAGGACAGTAGATCACCCGGAACTTGAATTACAGATGGCTGTGAGCTGCCCTGTGGGTGCCAGGAACCAAATCTCCGTCTTCTGGAAAAGCAGCCAGTGCTTAACCTCTGAACCATCACTGCAGTCCCTCTCTTTATTGTTAATCATATTTTTAATTATGTGTAGATGCATGTGTTTATATGTGTATGTGAGTGCAGGTACCTTCAGAGGCCAAAAATGTTGAAGCCGCTGAAGCTGGAGTACCAGATGGTGGCTGTGAGCTGCCTCATGTGGATGCTGGAAACTGAACTCTGGTCCTCAGGAAAGCAGCCAGGACTCTTAACCACTGAGCCATCTCTCCAGTCCCATTTCCTTTCTTCCTTCCTTCCTCCCTCCCTCCCTTCTTCCTTCCATCCTTCCTTCTTTTTTCTTCCTCCTCTCCTACCTTCTTCCCATCCTTTCTTTCTCCCATCCTTCCTTTCTCCCATCCTTTCTTCCTTCCTTCCTTCCTTCCTTCCTTCCTTCCTTCCTTCCTTCCTTCCTTCCTCACTCCCTCCCTCCCTCCCTCCCTCCTCCCCTGCCCTCCCCCACCCCACCGCCTTTCTACATGGGGTATTATTTAGTCCAAATTTGTCTCAAACTGGCTAAACAGCCAAGAATGGCCTTAAACTTCTGATCCATCTGCTGCTACCTCTCAGGTGTTGCTTATGTGGTGCTGGGGAGCAAACCTTGGGCTTCCCGAATGCTAGGTAAATACTCTATCCACTGAGCTATGTCCATCCCCCTCCTCCGCCCCACATCAGTAACTGCTGATGGTGCTGAAAGGGTCCCCTGTGCCTCAGTGTTTTTCTGTCCCCCAAATAGCTGTGATGTTCCCCATTTCATGGAGTTGTTTTTCAGGAAACAGTCTGGCTGCGATGACTCATGGCGCCAGGCAGGCAGTAGATAAGCAGCCTCAGGTAGGTGATGGGTCAGAAGAGCAGTACCCAGGCCTGTGCTTGCAGATGTCCTGGACAGGGCTTCATGTGGAGTTTCATGAATCTTTGCACTTGCCCAGAAGGCAGGATGAGCTGTATTTCAAAAGAACAAACTCGGACACAGGCTGTGGGCAGATCGCTTGCCCAGAGTTGCACAGTAAACACCTGGCAGGTTTGGGAGGCAAGCCGTGAGCCTTCCAGGACTACGGACTTGTTCCCAGCAGGGTTGCCTCCTCCTGGCATCTCGGTCTTGTCACCTCCCAGCAGGGACAGAGCTGATCTAAAGAGACACCATGTTCTCACTCTGGCTATCAAACTATTCAAACAGTGGAGCCTGAGGTTCCTTGGAACTTCAGGCGGGGAGAAGAGAGAGCCTAAAGCTTGGGCCAGCTAGAGAGGAAAGTTTTCTTCCTGGAAAGAGTTTTGCAACTTGTTTGACTGCCTTACAGGAGAGGCAACAACAGGTCAATGGCGGGCGGGACCACAGCTTGACCTGGACTATTGGTGAAATTATTAAGGCCACTCCACGTAGTTAAAGGGAGATTTATTTAAAGGCGTAACTTACAAATTAAGGGATAGGTAGGTCGCGGGGTCTGGGGAAGGTGTATGGCAGTCCAGCGGTGTTCTCTGGAGCTCTACTTGGCCCACCTCCACCGTCCAGGGTCCCGGAACCGCTGCCCCATCCAGATCTCCGGTCTCCAGGCGCCTCCCTTGGCCCCGCCTTGTTGGCGTAACAGTTGCCGAAGTCTCAGTGGGGGTTGGAACTTCCAGATCAAAGCTGGAATAGCTACCCACTACGCTGGACTCCTCAGATGTGCACAACCTTGGCCTCTACTTAAACATGAACTGTAGCTGAAGTTTTTTTCCAGTCCTGCCTGGCCCATGGTCAGGACAAATCTCTCTCACCCGCCAGTCCCACAGCCACTCAGACTCAACACAGAGACTTATATTGCTTACAAACTGTATGGCCGTGGCAGTCTTCTTGTTATCTGGTTCTTCTATCCTAAATTAACTCATTTCTATTAATTTATATGTCACCACGTGTTCTGTGACTTTACCTGCTGCCTTTACATGCTGCTCCATGGACGGCAGGCTGGCGTCTCTTCCAGCTTCCACCTCCCAGCCCCTCTTCTCTGTTTGTCCCACCTATCCTATACTTCCTGCCTGGCTACTGGCCAATCAGTGTTTTATTTATCAATCAATCATAGCAACATATATTCACAACATACAGGACATCCCACAGCAATGAACCTCACATCTGGACCCCAAAGATGGACTTGGGGATGTTATTGGATGTCTTTGTCCCTCTTCCCGATGTGGCCATATTGAATAAGTCTCTTTTTTCTGTTTTCACTATTAATTTGGCTGCTTTAGTTGGCTTATGAGGAGCAGGTGGCCGAATCTGGCTTGCTAAGGCACTGTCTGTCTGTCACACCCAGTCCAGTTACTGTCCTTCCTCTACTGTACCCCTGGTGCCTCCAGCCCTGCCATGCTGGTCAGCTGCAGAGAGCGCCCTGTGCCTGGCTGTCCTCCCGGACCTCTTAGGTCGTCTCTCTTCGGCTCTAACATGCCCTTTCTGCCACAAGCCGGCTGCAGAACGTCCTGGGGCTCCCCAAAGCCTCTCCAATCAAATCGAAATGGCTGGCCCATTCTCTCCAGTCCCTGTGATGTCCTGGCCTCATTTGTCACTGTCTCCAAACACCCGTTCTGCTTCAGCCAAGCTCATCTGTTTACTGTCCCATTGTCTCTGCCACCACACGGGCCATTTCTCTACTCATGGGGCGCCTCCCCAGATCTCCCACTCACATTTGCAAAACCCAGACTTGAAATTCAGTTTTGTCCTTAGGGCCTCACACCAGGGCAAGAGTTCTGCACTTAGTCCCGGCCCCCAGTCACTCTGAGTATGTCCTTAGGGGTTGGGACATGGCTGGAAAGATGAATGCTCATAGAAGATTTGGGGAGCAATTCTGGAAGGTTCCAACCCTGTGCTAAAGGCAGGCACACACTGAGCTCTTGAGTAATCCATGTCAGATGGCTCCTGAGAAGGGCGGCATGGTTTGAAGTATGAATTTTGGATTTTATTTCTGCAAGAAAAGGCCAAATA